TAGCATTTGTGAATCCTGAAGCTTTCCTGATCCAGGACCAGAGTGCTGGGATTAGGGGTGCTGGATGGCACCCTCTAGTCTAAATAGAACAGAGAAATTCAAGCCCAGCCCTCAGGTCCCTGATGCAGCAGCTGGATCCTGCAGCCAATCTTGTTCACAAAGTGCACATCTGGGGTGATGTACTCCCCACCCCCCAGCCCAGGCCCACATCTGGAGACCAAAGCTGGCTCTCTGGCTAAACACAGAGCATCTGGACATGAAGAGCTGTTTCTAGGTTAACACGGCCCATCTGGGCCCCTTGCTGCTGCTCCGCCCCGTCTCCACAGCGGAATGCTGGCTGCACATCTGGAGGGCTGGAGCCCGTGTCCAGCTGGGTCAGGAGCTGTCTCTGTCACCATCACCACTGTCTGTCTGGGGTCCTTGCCCTGAGGTAGGGGTCCTGTTTCCATAATTTCCCCAGACTTTCCAAAAGGCACTGTTCTCAGGGCTTCGCCTGAAGGGCTTACCTTGGCAGCAGACTCATCTCCACATATTCTGTACACATGTATCTTGTCCGGATTGGTGACAGCTGCCACTCTGCACCAGCCCACCCGAGAGAGGCTGTTGGCATTACTTAAAAGAGCCTCTGGGACCACTGGATTGCCTGTCCAAATGCCCTCTCCTGGAGTTTCACCAGCTGGAGGGGAGGGGGGACAGCCTTGGGCTCTGCCTTGGAGCCCGCCTCATGGGAGCAACCCTGAGTCTAACCCTCCATGCCAACATCCGTGCTTGGCCAGTGGGAGCAGGTGGTCTCCCCAGAACCTTGAGATGCAGTTGAGGAGAAACCAGGAAAGAAGACTACTAGAGGGACCTGGGCTAGCCTGCAGAAAAGATGACCACCCCAAAGGTGAGTGACCTCCTGAGCAGGGACTCAACATCACAGCTGGATTTTTTAAAAATGAGACAGGGCCAGGCTGGAGGGATGGCTTAACTGTTAAAGGCCAGGCTCACAACTACAAATATAAGAGACAGGGCCTCGGTTAGCCCAGGCTATCCTCAAATTCCCTTTGTTACTCAGAGGGATTCCTGGTCTCCCTGTACACTAGGCAAATACACCACTGGCTGGGCCTCATCCCCAGCCCTTTAACCTGCTCGTGTTAAGTTCAGCCACTGACAACTATTTTAAAAAATTACGTCTACTCCTGGGCAGTGGTGGCGCACGCCTTTAATACCAGCACTTGGGAGGTAGAGGCGGGAGGATTTTTGTGAGTTTGAGGCCAGCCTGGTCTACAAAGCTACACAAAGAAACCCTGTCTTGAAAAACAAACAAAAAAATTGCATCTGTCTATTGGATGTGTGTGCACGCACATGCACGCATGTCATATTGCACACGTGGCACACATGTCATATTTAGAGAGTTAGAGGACAACTTCTGGGGCCAGATTCTTTTCTTCTACCACATGGGTCCTGGGGGAAACTCAGGTGACTTTACCTGCTGAGCCATCTGGCTTTGCTTCAGGATATACAACCGTCATGAGCTAAAGCACTTGGGACTCCAAAGTCACACCCCCTGTCATGAAGGGATGGGTCCAGGCTTCCCTGTTCAGGATATGGCCGACATCATTCTTATATTTTGTATTAGTATATATTAAATCCATAGTAATGGGTTTTGTTATGGCATTTTCACATGGATGTCACCCTCAGTACCCTGTTTTGTCCCCCTCCTACTCCTGGTGGTCCCCTTCGTCTGTCTTCCCAGCTAGCCCCCCTCTGCTTCCGTGTCACTTGTGCTTACAGGAGTATAGCTATTTACCAGAGCAGAGGTGCTTACCGGCAGCTACACCACTGAAGGAAATCTCTCTCCCTCCCCCAGCAACTATTCCCTGCACATAGATCTTTGGAGAGGGGCGGGACCTTGTGAGCCCCTCCCGCACCCATGATGGATGCCTTGAAGGCCCGATCTTGTGCAGAGGAGTTGAAGAGTGTAACAGCCACGGCGTGCCTGGAAGACAGCATTTCAGAGCACTTATACCCCGTCCTCGGCCTGTTACATTCTCTCCATCCTGTCCTGAGTCTGTTGACACCCACGCCCTCTTCAGGACAGAGCATCCAACAGGCAGAGGCTACTCTTGCAAGGATGTTGGACAACCTTTAAAGGTCAGGCTTTGGGACTTTCACTGGGAGAGTCCTGTGGAGGGTGCATGCAAGTGTGTGTGAGTGTGCATGTGCGTGTGCGTGTGTGTGTGTGTGTGTGTTTATACACAAAACCATGGGGTAGAGAATAGATGTTTGGTGTACAGGGTGGATGAGTGGATAGGTATGAGGAAGACAGCAAGAGAATGGTACTGGACCACAGAGAATAGATCCTCCCGCCCCCTCGCCCCCTCCCTCATCCCAGTCCCCACCCTCCCATCCCCCAGTCCAGAGCCTGACCACTTTGATTGGCCTTTGCTCTGGCGCTGGCTTACAGCCTCCTCAGCCTGGTGATGCTGTATCCTGTGGTCCAGGCTTATCGTAGCATCACTGGACCCGATTGAAAGGAATTCTTTACAGCTGCAGCCTCTAGCCTGGGGCCTTGAAGGAGCAAACAGCTAAGAGCAAAAGCCTTCTCTTGCCCCTCCCTGGCCACGGAAAATGTGAGTTAACCAACATGTGCGTTGGAGACACTTGTAATAATAATGGACACGGACAAGAATTTTCTTATTCATCTATTTTTTCATGTGTATGTGTGTATGCTATGCATGTGTGTATAGTTTCTTTCTTCCTTTTTTTTTTGCAGATGGCAGGCACACGTATGTGTGTGGTCATGTATGCATGTGTAAATAGTTCTTTCCTTCCTTTCTTTTCTTTTCTTTCTTTTTTTTTTTGCAGATGGCGGTCACACGCGTGTGTGTGGTACGTATGCATGTGGAAGCCAGAGGTTGATGTCAGGGTTCTCCCTCAGCTGCTTTCATCTTCATGTATTAAGATGGGGAATCATTCCCTGGGAGCTGGAGAGGTGGCTCATCAGCTCAGAGCACTGGTTGCCCTTCCTGAGGACCTAGGTTCGATTCCCAGCACCCATAGGGCAGCTCACAACTGCCTGTGACTCCAGTTCCAGAGGGAATCTGACACTCTCTTCCGGCCTCGGTAACACTGCCCACACCTGGTGCACAGACCTGCATTCATACGAAATAAAGCAGGGCATCCACTTGACCCCAGATCATGCTGATTTGGCTAGCCGAGCTTACCAACTCGCCCTGGAGACTCCCTGTTTCTGCCTCCAGAGAGCTAGCCCTCGACCTGCCAAGTGCCTTGATTACAGACACAAGCCACCACACCGGAGAGAACATCTCATCCCACACATTGCCCCCAACACCTTTGGGGGGAGAGTCCCTTGTCACCCCTGTTTTATAGTTGAGGAAACTGAGGGTCAGCAAAAGCAAATCACTTGTCCACGTGACTGACAAGTGTCCCAGCCAGGGTAGCAGCTCAGAGAGCTCCTACTTAGCATCCCTGTCAAGAGGGCTGAGAGGAGGCATCCCCCTTTCCCCGTCCCACACTCCAGTAGCAGGAAGTAACATGAGCTGAGCTCAGCATGGTGGCATGTGCCCACATTCCCACCCCTCGGGAAGCTGAGGCAGGGGGACCAAAGTTTGAGGACAGTTTGGGATATGTAATGAGATCCTGTCTTTTCTTTTATGAGACAGAGTCCCACATGGCCCAGACTAGCCTTGAACTCTCTACATAGGCAGGGGTGAATCTGAACTTCTGATCCTCCCGAGTCTGTCTCCCAAGCGCCGGGATGCACAGCTGGATAGACCCACGCCTTGCTAGGCTAGGCCTTCACACAAGCTCGGCAAGCAAGCGCTCTGCCAACTGAGCCCCCACCCCACAGCCTAAGACTGCCAGTCAACAACAACAAGAACAAAAAATCCAGAGCCCAGCCCTGGGCTCCCACTCCCTAGTGGGTTCTGCTCCTCCCAGCCTGGCCCTGAGGGCAGGTCAGGGCCTGCAGAAGCAAACTCAGGGAGAACAATGGGAATGAAAGGAACGGAAACCCTCTAGGAAGCCAGCACGGGGAAGGAGGCCAGGCTACACGCTGTCCCAGACGGGCTGGGTCCTGGGGTCCCTAGGGCAGGGGGCACAGTGAGGACAAAGTGTGCCCAGCTGGCCTCTGCTACTTCTCAAGGTTGAGAGGCTTGTCGTCTCAGCAGCAATATCAGCAACAAAGCTCCCCAAGTCCAGGTGAGCAAGTTCCAGCTGTCTGCATATCCAGAGCCCTCCTGCCGTCATCCCTGGCCGGATACCCAGTGCACACTGAGCATTGGTTATGGGATGCTTGCTCTGAGCTATTTCTGGTCTCTGGGGCTGGGTGTCTCTGAATCTCCATCCGTGAAAGGATGTGCCCTGCCTCAGTTTCCCAGGCTCTCTGTGTGGCCCTGGCTTGCATGAAGCCCTAGGTTCTACCCCCAGCTCTTCATAAACCAGCCACCGCTGGCACACATCTGTAACCACAGCCCCTGAAGAGGGGGAGGCAGGAAGGTCATGAGTTCAAGCTTGGGCTATGAGACCCTCTCCCCCAAAACAAACAGGAGAGAGAGAGAGAGAGAGAGACTCTCTGGTTCTTCTCTCCAGCTAATTCTCCCAGACAAACCAGGCCAGTCCAAAAGGAGGCCACCAAAACAAGGGAAGATTGCGAAACCCACATCCAGGGAAAGAGGCCACCAGAAGTATCTTTCCAGGACAGGGGGCCATGACAGGCAGCCAGGCCTGTGGGTCATAGCCTGCCTGGGCCCGAACTATTTTTGTACTGTCTGGAAGTGGGTGTGGGGGTGAGGGTGGGGGTTGATGAAACTCTTTCTTTGCTTGACCCAAACACTTTCCCCCTTAAGCCGGGGCTCCATGTGGTTCGAATTCATTGTCACTTAATTCAGCACTGAAGGCTCCATGCCACACCCCTCCCCCTCCAAGGAAAGGATGAAAACATACAGTTGCTGGCAGGCGGGCGAGGTGGGCGTGAGGGCCTGTGACAACCAGGCTGGCTGCTTGACCTCATCCGCCCCTGGCTGGCTGTCCCTCCATCGCCCTGGCTCCTTCCATCCCAGTCCCTGTGTCCCCGAAGGCAAGAAGAGAAAGGCAGTCATCCAAGTCCTGGCAGGGCTGAGAAGGGGCCCTGGGGTCACCAGCTTTTTCCTTTCTACCTCGGGACGCCTGGAAACGGGAAATGGACATGCCCAGAAGGTTTGTGTGCAGGAATGTCCGGGGTCACATGTGGCGGCGTCACATGTCACACATGGACCCGTTTGTGTCGTGAAGTTAAAGAAAGTCCTTGTCTTTCCTCCCCTCCCCTCCCTCCCTCCCTCTTCTCTCCCCTCCCCTTCCTCCCTCTTCTCTCCCCTCCCCTCCCCTCCCTTCTCCCATCTTCTCTTCTCCTTTCTCTTTCCTCTCTCTTTGAAAGAATTCTTTATCATTTTATGTGCACCTGTGTGTGCTTTGAGTAGTTTATGTGTATCATGAGTGTGCAAAAGTCTTTGGAGCCCAGCAGAGGGCATCAGATACCCTGGAACTATAGTTGCAGGTGATTGTGAGCTGCCAAATGTGGGTGCCCGAAACCAAACCTGGCTCTTCTTGAAGAGCAGTAAGCATTCTTAATGACTGAGCTATCTCTCTGTCTCTGTCTCTCTGTCTCTGTCTCTGTCTCTGTCTGTCTCTGTCGCTCTGTCTCTGTCGCTCTCTCCCTCCCTCCCTCCCTCCCTACCCCTCTCTTTTTCTTGAGACTGTCTCAATGGTAGTTAAGCATAGCCTTGAGCTTCTAATCCTCCTGCCTCCACACCCCAGCGCTGAGGTTGTGGGTGTGCATCACCACACTTAGTTTGTGTGGTGCTGGGCCCACCCAGGGCTTTGTGTACCTAGCTACATGCCAACACTTTATCTTTTCAGACCTGGCCTCACATTGTAGCCCAGCGGGTCTCAAATTCCCAGTGATTCTTCTGCCTCAGTCTCCCAAGAGGCGTGTGATTATAGGCACTGACCGAAACACTTGGTTTTCTCTTGTTATTGTTGAGAAGGATTTCACATAGTAGCTCAGACTAGCCCGGAATGTTCTACCTCCCTGCTTCTGCTCCTTGAATGCTGGGATTGCAGGTGTCTGAATGGGCCAAAATTATTCTACTTTTCCTGTTGGTTGGTTTACACCTGATGTTAGTCATCTAAGGACAAGAATACCAAGGCTCAAATCAGAGAGGATCATGGGAAGTACAGCAGAAAGAAGACCTACCCAAGGGAATGGGAATCTTTTTATTTACTTATCTGTGGTGTGTGTGTGTGTGTGTGTGTGTGTGTGTGTGTGTGATCCACATGCCTGTGCAGATGTGTTAACACCTGAGTATCATTCTTCACCGTATTCCTGTGACACAGAGTCTGTCACTGAACCTGGACCTAGGCTGATGGCCAGCAAGTCCCAGAGACCCTCGTGGACTACCCTCATTACCATACTGGGATTATAGGCACGCCCTTGACTGTGCCCAGCTTTTTACATGGGTGCCGGGATTTGAACTCAGATCTTCCTTGCTGAGCTATCTTCCTGGCTGTGACACTGAAAACTTTAATCAACCACAGTGCTGGGAGTTGAGATTGGGGCTCAGCTGGCAGAGGGCTTCCCCGACACGCGTGAAGCCCTGGGTTCTGTCCTTGGCATCATGTAAACTGGATCTGGATCTGGTGGAGGATCAGAAGTTCAGGGTCATCCTTGGCTATCTTGAGTATTTCAGGCCAGCCTGGGCTATATGAGACTCTGACTGAAAAAAATAAAAAAAAACTACAAATAGAGTGGAGGGCAGGGGCAGGGTGGGGGTGGAGATGGGAGTGGGGATCCGGGACCAGACATGAGGTGACACTTGGGGACAGAGACCGGCAGGTTTATAAGCTGCAGACTAGCCCTGCAGTTCATCTCTGGGGACCCTGATGGCACCCTGTTCTCAGCATGCTCCACCCTCGTGCACTCCTTTCTGGGGTTCTTAGCCAATACGAGCTTGGCATTTCTCAGGAGGAACCAGCTGGGGACAGACAAGAGACCTCCGATTCCATACACACACACACACACACACACACACACACACACACACACACACACACACACACGTCTGCCTCCATCCCCCTCCACCCCTCCTTCCATTGTAGGTCTTTCCAGGACAGGGTGGGCTGGTCCACCCAGGATCTCCAGTGCCCAGCTGGGTCCAAGGGTGCAGAATGCTTGTTGAATGAATTAATGCATTTTTCAAGTCCAGTCAAAGTGCTATTTTTATGGCTTGTAGGCCAGATTAACCCAGGGCCATGGTTTTCTAGATAAATATTGGCAAACCAACTGTAGTCGTTTTATATTGGGACCCTACTTGTCTCCCTCGTCTCTGTCCCCCCCATCTCTGTCTTCCTCACCTGTCTCCATCTTTACCTCTCTCCTTCTGTCTCTGTCTCCTGTTTCTCCCTTCCTGTTGCTATCCATCTCTTCCTGTGTTTTCTGAGTGAGTCAGGGACTTCCTATCAAGCCCAAGTTGGCCTTAAATTTACTCTGTAGCTCAGGGTGGCCTGGAGCATGTGACTCCCTGGCCTCAGCCACCCTAACGCTGGGATGACAGGGACCCCATTCTGTCTTGTCCAGGTTATCAAGGCAGAGCCGTCAGAGAGACCACTCCCGAACTCTCCTTTCTCCCACATCAGGGTGCCCATGGCTGCCTTTTGCTCTGGTGACCCCCTGCTGTGCCGTCCCATCCAGCAGACAGAGGCAGCCACAGGGTGGGGCTCCCGGAGTTGGCTTTCCTGGGCAGGGTCACAGTTCCTGGAGCTGCAGGGCTGTTTGGGCACAAACATTTCCCTGCATTGTCCTATTTCCCAAGACAGCCAAGAGACCAGAGAGAGGAGGGAGTTGTGGTTGGAGTTTTCTGCCCTCTGCTTCCAAAGAGGACAAAAGTCTCCACGCCGTCGGGTGCAGAGAAACCCTGAGAAGATGGAGTCAGGAAATGCAGCTGGGCATAGGTGGGGAGCATGTGCACACTTGAGCCAATCTAAGAACTCAAGTTCATCGAGACAGGGTCTCCAAGAGGCTGAATCTTTGTGTTCCTTTAAGTCCTCTGCTTCTCTACCTTAGACCTCTTAACAAGGTGTTCCTCTGATTTTTCTTTCTCATCCCAGAGCTCTGGAAAGTTCCTTTGTGTTTTGGGCATGTGTTCCCCAACAATACTCCATTGTCCTTGTTTTGGGGAGAGATAACACTGGATGTGAATCACACACACACACACACACACACACACACACACACACACACACACCTTGCATGCAGGACCTCTGAGAGTCTGAATGGTCATAGAGCTTTTAACCTTCTGAGAAGGAGTCTTTGACATCTGAGTCATTTTTCTCTTTGTGGATTCTTTTTTTCTCCTTTCAGGACAGGCAGGACATACTCTGGATATGAGAGTTTGAGAGGGCACCTTGGGGATTGCTGGGTGTAAAATAGCAATTTGTCCAGCAGCAGTGATGGCTTTGAACTACAGTGATGCTTTTTGGTTTTGTCATTGTTACTGGTTTCCTCTCTTTTTGCTTTTGTTTTAGACTTGGTTCTCCTGTGTAGCCCACTCTCGGGGTCTTCCTGCTTCGGCTTCCCGTGCTAAGATTATAGATACGTGTCATCACACCACAACTACACGCTTCTTTTTTGCTGTTGTTGAATGGAAAATTACACTTCCATTTCTAGATGACTCCAGTGTGGCCATCCATGCAGGCAATGTGTCCTCGCCCCTGCTCCTGAAGGGAGATGAGTCAGCTGGCTGATGGGACAAGGAATCAACACAGACCCTATCCATCTCTTCAACTTGTTCTGGAGACACAAGTCATAATTAGGTCACCTGTAGCCAAGGTTGGGCGAGAGCCAGGCAGCTGGGAAAGTGGAGGCTACTTCTGTCATCAGCAGATCTGAACTTTCCAGCCTCAGGTGGCATCTGATTCCAAGGAGAGACTTTGGGATGAGCTGACAGAGCTCACAGCATGTACAGGCTGGGGCTGGTGGCACAGGCTTCTAACCCCAGCAGTACGGAAAGCTGAGGCCTGCGGATGAAAAGTTTAAGACCAGCTGTGTTATAGAGAGAGTTCAAGGCCAGCTTGGATGACTTGAGACCTGCCTCAAAATAAGGAGTTGAAAAAGTATCCTTAGAGCCACTCACTGCCTAGAATCCCCCAGTGAGGGGCTGGGGGTGTGGCTCAGTGGTAGAGCCCCTGCCTAGAATCCTCCAGTGAGGGGCTGGGGTGTGGCTCAGTGGTAGAGCACCTGCCTAGAATCCCCCAATGAAAGGCAGCTTTCCATATCCTACTATGTCTGCTGTCCTTGAATCCCTCTCTCAGGGTAGAGACTCCGGAGCCCAACTTAGGCTTCATTGAGGGAGGTTTCTATTGAAAGGAATTTTTGCTTGCTTGTTTTTATTGCTGAGACAGGGTTTCAAAATGTAGCTTAGACTGGCCTTGAACTGTTTCACTTTCCTGCTGGTGTCACAGTCATGGTCCACCATGCCCAGCTGCCATAGAGGATTTATAAGCAAGTTAAGTGTGGTGCTCACCGGATTGGCATCCAAGCTGGTGTCCCAGTTCTCCTGATGCAGACTCAGAGTTTTGCTCAAACCAGAGTCTTCCTTAGTCCTTCCTTATACCTTAGTACCAATTAGACATGAAGGAACCATTCTACCGGAGCCGTATGTATGTGTGTGTGTGTGTGTGTGTGTGTGTGTGTGTGTGTGTGTGTGTGAGGCAGCGTCTCTCACTGGTCTGGAGTTCCTCAAATAGGTTAGTTGGGCTAGTCAGCAAAGTCCTCAGGGATTCACCTGCCTCTGCCTCCCCAGTGAGGGGATTATAAACTCACAGCTTTTACAAACAACAAAAAAATAAAGTGGATGCTGGGGATGGAGTCCAGGCCCTCACCTTCGAATATCAAGCACATTATGGACCGAGGCAGCCCTCTCCAGCTCTGGCTGGTTCAGTGATCTGACATGTCTATCAGTGTTGTCTGGGTTGACCATAAATGTATGTAAGTCAGCAAACCCTAGACTTGAACCTGAGTGTGTATCTGATCCCCTTGAAGGTTTGGTGAACAGGTTCTGATCCAGTTTGGGCCCAAGGACCACCCTGCCCCCAACAATTAGATGACTAAGTAGTCAGTCCTGAAGTCATCATATACATGCAAGGAACTTACGGATTTAGAGACTAAGTAGCTTGTAGTTATCTGCTTATATAACAACAAAGAGAAAGAGACTGGAGGCCATGAATTTGAGAGAGGGAGAAAAGGGGGATAGAGACAGGGTCAGAGGGGGACAAATAATTGTGTTAGTCACTGTTCTATTGCTGTGAGGAGCCATTATGACCAAGGCAACTCTTACTAAAAGAAACCTGTCTCACAGTTAGTCCATGATCATCATGGTGGGAAGCAGACAGGCATGGTGCTGGGGCAGTAGCTGAGAGCTTTGCATCCTGAGACACGGGGAGCAGGGAGAGGGAGGGACACTGGATCTAGTATGGGCTTTTGAAATCTCAAGGCCCACCCTAGTGACACACTATCTCCAAAAACCTCACAACTACCCCAGCAAGTCCGCTCTTCCTAATCCTTCTAATCCTTTCAAACAGTGACTCCCCGGTGACCAGGCATTCAAACATATGAGCCACCACAATAATGCATTTGATTTCAAGAGTAAAGATGTTACTAAAAGGGCAATATCCTAAATATAATGAAATTTCTAAATTAAACAAAATAAAACAAAGAATTTCCCTTCTCTTCTCTACTTTCCCTTCCCATCTCCTCTTCTAGTCCATGAATTTTCCATCCTTTGGTTCAACCTCCCATACATGCATCACCTACCTATCCCTGCACTGTGTGTGTGTGTGTTTGTACATGTGTGTGTGTGTGCATGCGCGTGTGCCTATGCCTGTCACCTGTGTGTGTGTGTATACATGTGTGTGTGCCTATGCCTATCACCTGTGTGTGTGTGTGTACATGCGTGTGTGCCTATGCCTGTCACCTGTGTGTGTGTGTGTGTGTGTGTGTGCATTGCCTGTACAGGCATGTGTGGAGTCCAGAGGTGCACTCTGAAATGTCTTCCTCAGTTAGCATTTTCACCTTGAAACATTTTTATTATCACTTTTTTTGTTTGATTTTTCAAGACAAGGTTTCTCTGTGTAGCTTAGGAGCCTGTCCTGGAACTTGCTCTGTGGACCAGGCTGGCCTCGAACTTACAGAGACCTGCCTGCCTCTGTCTCCGGAGCTCTGCGATTAAAGTCGCGTACCACCACCACCGCCGGGCTATTACTTTTAATTATATGTGTGTATGTCTGTGTCAGATCGGTGCACATGAGTGCAGTGCACTCCGAGGCCAGAGGTTTGAGATCCCCCTGTTGCAATTACAGGCAGTTGTGAGCGATTCAACTTGAACGCTGGAAACAAACTTGGGCCCTCTGCAAGAACAGTGCTCTTAACCCCTGAGCAGTGTCTCAGCAGTCCTCCATCTTTTGTTTTTGGAACAGTCTTTTAGTGAACCTGGGGCTCATTGTTCTGGCTAGTGTGGCTGTCCAGTAATTCTCAGGGACCCACGTGTCCCGGCGTCCCGGCTCAGGGATTACAGATACCCCTTGTCACAGAAACTTTTCATTTGGGTGCTGGGGTACAAGTGCTTGCTTTACCCTCTGAGGTCTCCCCAGGTTCCAGTCTTTCTGTTTCTGAGACACAGTCTGCTCTGATGTCCAGGCTGGTCTCTAGCTTGTGCTGGGATTCCAGATGTGAGCCCCAGGCCCCGTGAGCATCCATGTGCCTTTTAAGCAAGCATCTGGGGGGGATATCAGTGTCATCGATCATGGGGACCACACTTTGAGAGTAACAGGCATTAGCTATGCTCAGCTATTAGCATCCACACTGAGTCCAGAAGCTTCTATTTGCAGGAGATGTCTAAACAGAGTAAGACTTGGACTATGAGGTTGAGAGGGGCTATGTTGCAAGAGGCAGGCCCAGGTTCGTAGAACCAGTTGGGAGGCAAGGAGGTCAAGTGCTGTCTTTCCTGATCCAGGCTGGGGGCCTCAGACATGAAGGTCTGGGGCAGATGGGAGGCAAGCAAGCCTGGGGAAGTCTGGAGCCATGCTGCGATTGGGCCAGAGCCCAGTGCACCTGACCCTGGGTCTGGGAACAATGGCTGGGCCGGTACTGCCTGGCTGGCTGCCTTAGTACATGTCAGTCCTGTCTTCCCAAACTCTCCCCAGCTCCCTCTCCGGCGCCCATCCCTAGCCACTGGCCTCTGGACAACTGCATTCCTTCAGGCTGATTTCTTCTCAGTGGCTTTGAGCACACATTCTCACAATGAAGCAGGATGTGGGGACCAGGAACTGGGGGAATGCTAAAGAATGTGAGAGCCTGGACTCCCTTGCAGAGACAAGAGGGCCTTTAGAGGACTAGAAGTCTCCTTTTCCTTATTTGTCATACCATGGGGCTCCTTCTCTATGTGGCCCTTGAACAGGAACGTCAGCTAGGCACCTGCAGACTGAAATTTGTGACATGACAGGCTTAGCCACAGAGACAGCTTCTGCCCGTTGGTGGCTGACGGTGCCACCTCTAACTTCAAAGTGTTGCTGAATCACTGAGTATGGATTTGACATTGTGGCTTGGGGACAGGACTTGGTAAGGGGTCATACTTTTGTGCAAGACTTGAGATGTCCCAGCCTTCTTCTTGACACCTGCGGGGTCCCGGAAATGCCCCAAACAGGATCGTCCCAGGTCAGAGGAGGGGATGGCACTGGGCTCTGATTCCCTGCCCACCCTCTCAGCTCAGCCTCCTAATCTGCCCCCCTCCTGTCAAAGCCGCAGACATCGAAGACAAACCCATACTGACGTCAGGGGAAGCGCCCACGGGGCCTCGGTCTCTCCCAGAAATTTGGCTCCAGTGCCCACGCGTCGGATGTCTGTGGTTTTTAAAAGGTGAAAATAGCCCACAGACTTGATCCTGTTTCTATCAAAACCTGGCTAGGGCCTGGGGAGATGGCTTAGTGGGCAAGCGCTTGCCTTGCATAAGTGAGGACCCAAGTTCAATCCCTGTGCTAGACAGTATATGTTTATAACCGCAGGCTTGGAGGTGTATGTTTCTAAGTTCAGTGCCAGGAAAGCAGAGACGGGGAGATTCCTGGGGCTCGCTGGCCAGCCAGTGGAGCCTACTTGGTAAGCTCCTGCCCAATGAGGGACGCCGTTTCAGAAGCAGTTGGACAGTGCTTGAAGGATGACATCTAGGTTGTTCTCCGGCCTCCAGACGTACCTGTACACACATACACACAAAACCTGGCTGGCTAGGCTCTGGGGTCCTTGGGGGTCTCCCGTACTCCCACACTTGGAGACCTGTTTTTTTTTCTGTGTTCTCCTGGAAGCTTTGGAAGTCCCTGGTCCTGCTCTGCCTCTCCTGACCAAGGTTCTGGGTCATTCCCCAGTCAGTCCTCACCTGGGTTCCTCCAGGCACCTCCTTTCTCCTCTGTGGCCCAGTACATAGTAAATGCTCAGTAAACATCTGTGGGTGGGAAGGGTTAGATTTCTTTTTCCGTAGATTTTCTGTCTCTGCTCATTACTCCCACTTCCTGTGGACAATTGTACCACTAGCTTCTTGGCATGTGTGTGTGTTCAAGCACATGTTTGGGTACATGTGTGCACATGGAGGCCAGAGATAACTTTGGCTGTCATCCCTCAGAAGATGTGTGTCCACCTTGTTTGGGGGAGACAGGGTCTCACAGTTAACCTGGAGCTCGATGATTCTTCTAGGCTAGCCGGCCAGGGAACCCCAGGGATCCTCATGTTCCAGTCTCCCCAGCGCTGGGATTATAAACTCAAACCCCCAAGCCTGGCTTTTTCACATGGGTTCTGGGCATTGAACTCAGGTCCTTGCAGTCTACGGATTGAGCTGTTCTTGCCCAGCACCGAGTCACTGATTACTGTGAGGCTTTTTTTTTTCTCCTTTCTTTTTTTGTCACTTGATGTGGAGGCTGAGATTTGCTTAGGGAGCCAAATGACGCTGCTCCTGGATAAGGCTGCCTGTCAGTGATGAACTCGGTCAACCTGACCTGGTCCAGCTACAGCGAGGATGGACTCTTCGTCCGTGCAGAGGGCTGCAGTCATCAGGTTCGACCAGGGGTCAGCACACAGTTAACAGGCTTGCCTTGCTTCTTGATGCTGGCTCTGAGGACCGGCCCTCAAGGGACCTACAGTTTGTCTAGGATGGATGTGGGGAGAAAGACTGAGCCGTCCTTTTTATCTGGAGCCTATGTATGTATGTATGCATGTATGTATGTATGTATGTATGTATGAATCTGTGTATCTATATATGTCTATCGATCTGTCTCTCTGTGTGTGTGTATGTATGTATGTATATAACTGTCTACGTATTGAGATTCTTTTGCAGTCCAGGCTGGCCTCAAACTTGCACAACTGAGGATGCCCCTGAACTTTCAACACTCCCGCTTCTATGTTGAGAGTGCTGAGATTATTGGCATGTGCCACCACTCCCAGTATGTGTGGCGCTGGGATTGAACCAGGTACTTAGGCATGCCGAGCCTTCCAAACCTGTGTCGGGACATACGGCTTCGCCGCCGCTTGTCTGGACTCCTACGGCTCCTTCCCTGGACCGCAGGGAATCTGACGGTGGTTTCCTGTCATTATGAACTGTGATCTGACGCGGGCGGTGGTTCGAGCTCTCCCCACTGTCCACGCATCCCATGCTCCCTCTCCCTGGTTCATCCTTGGCTCCTTCAGCCTCTGCCGGCACAACGCTGTCTCCGGTTTTCTCCTAGTCCCTCCACAGACGCCACATCTCCGTTCAGCTAGCGGCAACACGCCTGCCACTCCAGGATGACCTCAAGCTTCCTATGTAGCCAAGGATGACCTGGGGCTTCGGATCCTCCCGCCTCTACCTCCCACGTGCTGGGAAGACAGGCTTGCACTACCGTGCCCCGTTTAGATGGCTATGAGGATGGACCCCAGGGCTTCATGCATGCTAGGCAAGCACCGTCTTTTGTCTCCTCCTCAGCAGTGCTGGGGACACAGGTGTACATGGACACATGTGGCTTTTTACATGGGCGCGGAGGATCTGTACTTAGGTCCTCAAGTTGCCAGGGCAACAACTCACTTTACTGACTGCGGCATTTCCCCACCCCCTCTCCTTCCCTTTTTCCTCCCTATTCCCTCCTTCCAGCTTTTTCTTGGGACAGAGACTCACCATGTAGGCCCAGACTGGCCTTGAACCCATGACAATACTCCTGCCACAGACTCCCAAGTGCAGGTGTGAGCCACCACATCTGGCTAAACTTAATAGGTTGTTTTTGTTTGTTTGCTTTGTTTTCTTTTCGAGACAGGGTTTCTCTGTAGATTTGGAGCCTGTCCTGCCACTCGCTCTATAGACCAGGCTGGCCTCAAACTCACAGAGATCCGCCTGCCTCTGCCTCTGTCTCCCGAGTGCTGGGATTAAAGGCGTGCGCCACCACCGTGTCAGCACAGAGTGTAACTGAAAGAATCCGGGTACAGGAAGAACAGAGGTCCTGGGTGAGAATCCTGCGTCAGAGTGCAGTAACTATTTGGCCTTAAGCAAATTCGGTTGACTACCAAGTCAGGGAAACAGGCCAGACATGGCTTTCACCTGGGGTTGTCTGATGTAATCTACCTCGGCTGGTGCCGACCCGGTGGGTGCTCTGAAGTAATCGCTCAGAGTGCCACACACAGCAATAGGCTCGGGCAGATGACCGTGTG